TGTAGTATGTTGCTTTTCATTGCAAGAAAGGATTATAGTAGCAGATGGAATAGTTTGGCTAATCAGCTGATTTTAAGATAAGATTGGGCCTGGCCAGGCATGGCCCAGTGGTTGAGCATTGACTTAGGATCCAAGAGATTGAGGTTCGATTCCCAGTCAGGGCACATGCGTGGGTTGCGGGCTCAATCCCCTGTCGGGGGCATGCAGGAGGCAGCTGATCAATAACGACTCTCTCATTGATGTTTCTCTCTCTCTCTCTCTCCATCTCCCTTCCTCTCTCTGAGATCAATAATATATATATATTTTTAAAGATAAGATTGGCCATAATTGTGTAGGTGGGACTAATGTAATCATCAGGGTCCTAACATTTGGAAGAGGAAGGAAGAATTTTGGAACCAGACGGAGATTGAAAGATGTTTACCAGGGTTATATCCTCTTGTTGGCTCAATCCCTTTAGTGTTATGTAGTGGTCTTCTTTGTCTCTTGTTAAGGCCTTTGCTCTGAAGTCTATTTTGTGAAATATAAGTGTTGCTACCCCTGCTTTTTCCTCATTTCCATTTGCATGGAAAAAATTTTCTATCCCTTCACTTTCAGTGTGAATCTTTTGTTCTGAGGTGTGTCTCTTGTAGATAACATATATATGAGTCATGTTTTCTTATCTATTCAGCTACCCTGTGTCTTCTGATTGGAGCATTTAATCCATTTACATTTAAGGTTTTTATTGATAGGTACTTATTTCTTGCTATTTTAATTCTTTATGGCTATGTTCCTGTCCCTATATATTTCTTCTTACAGCAGTCCCTTTAACATTTCTTGCATTGTTGGTTTGGTGACAATAAACCCCTTTAGCCTTTTTTTTTTTCTTTTTGTCTAAGAAGCTCTTTATTTCACCCTCAATTTTGAATGATAACCTTCCTGGGTATAGTAGTCTTGCTTTTAGAACTTTGCTTTTTATTACCTTAAATACTTCATGCCATTACCTTCTGGCCTCTAGTGTTTCTGTTGAGAAATCAGCTGACATGCTTATGGGAGCTCCCTTTTAGGTAACTGACTGTCTCTCTCTTGCTGCCCTTAAGACTCTCACTTTGTCTTTAACATTTAATTATGATGTGTCTTGAAATGGTCTGTTTGGGTTCATCTAGATTGGTACCATCTGTGCTTCCTGAACTTGTATGGCTTTTCTACTCGCCAGCTTAGGGAAGCTTTCTGTCATTACTTCTTCGAACAGGTTCTCTATCCCTTGCTCACTTTCTTCTCCCTCTGGCAATTCTGTGATGCAGATGTTGTTCTGTTTCATGTTGCCTCAGTCTTCCCTTAAAATGTCTGTGCTCTGCAAGGACCCAGTGCCCTTGTACCTCAGGTCCAAGCTGAAGGAGTTACAAAGTCAGCTCTAAACAGGACTCTGGTCTCTCTGCACAGTTGGTCTCAGTAAAGCTGGGGCCAAGAATCCCAACTCTGCTCACACTCCCAACTCTCCTCAGTGCAGGACAAAAATCCCAAATCTGCCCTGCCACCAACTCCACAGGATGGAGAAGTCATGCAGCTCCATAGGTGGGAGGAGGGGTTGCAACCCCACACTCAAGGTGGAAGAATCCTATCTTCCTTCCCCACACCACACAGTTTAGTCACTATCTGGGGCTCTGCACCTTGCCTTTCAGGAAAGCAGAGGGTCCCCCATTTTTGGAGGGAGCCAAACACCACAGCGCGGCCTTTCCAGCCATCAGAGTCCAAGGTGAACCTCTCCCACTGGGGCTGCTGACATTAGGTGTGCTCTTTTGCTGGGAAGGTACAGACCCAGTCTTCCAGGCAGACAGAGTTTCCCTGGATCCCTCTGCCTGATGATATGCAAGTTCTCCTACCAGTCTCTGCTGCTTCAGGTTTGGGATTCCTGCTTGGGGATGTGAGCCCACACTCCCAAGGGTAGGGAGCTTTGCAGCCAATATCACTCAGGCCTCTCAGCCAAGCACCAGCTCCAGGGAGGCTCCCCCTTTCCACCACTCCCTTTCTCTTACAGTCTCTACATTGTTTCTTTAGCGATCCTTAGATAAAATATGTCTAATCAGCTACTTCTCTTGTTTTTGCAAGCTGACCATGAAGTATTTTAGCTGCAAATCCAGTCCATAGCTGGGAAAAAGGGCACACAGCCTCCTGTTACACCACAGCCACCTTGCCTCCCTCTATTGTCCCTTTATGGTTATGGCTGTCAATGTAAGCAATGTCCAAACCTGTAAGAATTTTTATGAGTTTATTTGAGCCAAACTGACAACAATTGCCAGGAAGCAAAACCTCAATGGATTGAGAAAATGCTCCAGAAAGTCAGTTTTGCACCTTATTTTATACATTATAATAAAACAGGAGGCATAAGTGTGTTACAAAAAATTCACTGGTGATAGAACAGGAACATGGGAGAAAGCAAAGCCCAGAAACCTTTGGGATTAGATAAAAAGTAAAATCATAGACACATACTTCTTTTACATTGGTGAGTGCAGGATAGTTAACAGTCAACAATTAACACATTAACGAGAGGATTTGTGGTCTCTGCTCTGGTGCATGGTTGTGTCTGGAAGGGTCAGGATAAAGAAAGTTATCTTGACATTCCAAAGGTATGTTATCATAAATGCAAAAACTTAATAGAGATATTATAGAAGGGATTCCAAACGACTGCAAAGTAGATAAAAGCTCCATCCACTTGCTTCTAACACCAGACCGAATTTGTGGCTAAAGTGCAGAGCTATTGGCTTGAAAAAACAGTTGAAGTGTAGATGATCTGAAATATCAGTTTATTACCACCAAACTGGCAAGGCAGGAAATGCTAAAGGGTTAACACCTATCCTCCTCAAACTATTTCAAAAAATCCAAGAGGAAGGAACACTTTCAAACTCTTTTTATGAGGCCAGCATTAGCCTAATTCCAAAACCAGATAAAGATACTACAAAGAAAGAGAATTACAGGCTAATATCCCTGATGAGCACAGATGCCAAAATCCTCAACAAAATATTAGCAAATCGGATCCAGCAATATATTAAAAAGATCATACACCATGACCAAGTGGGATTTATTCCAGGGTTGCAAGGCTGGTACAATATTTGCAAATCAATAAACGTGATACATCACATAAACAAACTGAAAGATAAAAATCACATGATCTTATCAATAGATGCAGAAAAAGCATTCGATAAAATCCAGCATCCATTTTTGATAAAAACTCTCAGCAAAGTGGGAATAGAAGGATCATACCTCAACAATAATAAAGGCCGTATATGACAAACCTACAGCCAACATCATACTCAATGGGCAAAAACTAAAACCATTTCCCCTAAGAACAGGAACAAGACAGGGGTGTCCACTTTCACCACTCTTGTTCAACATAATACTGGAAGTCCTACCCACAGCAATTAGACAAGAAGAAAACATAAAAGGCATCCAAATTGGAAAGGAGGAAACAAAACTGTCATTATTTGCAGATGACATGATATTGTACATAGAGAACCCTAAAGACTCCACCAGAAAACTACTAGATTTAATAAATGAATTCAGCAAGGTAGCAGAATATAAAATTAACACCCAGAAATCGATGATATTTTTATACATCAATAATGAACTCTCAGATAACAGAAACTAAAAAAACAACCCCATTTACCATTGCAACTAAAAAAAATAAGATACCTAGGAATAAATTTAACCAAAGATGTAAAAGATCTTTACTCAGAAAACTATAGGACACTGAAAAAAGAAATAGAGGAAGATATAAACAAATGGAAAAATATACCATGTTCATGGATTGGAAGAATTAACATCATTAAAATGTCCATATTACCTGAAGCAATCTACACATTCAATGCAATCCTCATTAAAATACCAACAGCGTATTTCACAGATCTAGAAAAAACACTTCGAAAATTTATCTGGGTTTTCTGTTCTGTTCCACTGATCAATATGTCTGTTCTTGTGCCAGTACCAGGCTGTTTTGATTACAGTGGCTTTGTAGTATAACTTGATATCTGGTATTGTGATTCCTCCAACTTTGTTCTTCTTTCTCAAGATTGCCGTGGCTTTTCAGGGTGTTTTTGGTTCCAGATTAATTGATTAAAACTTTCTTTCTATGTAGACTTCACTAGTTGATATTCGATAGTCAGTTTTGTCAGTGTCTGTAGTAGACACTGAGCTAAATAAGACAATAAAACCACACCAGCCTCGCCAGCATGTCTCAGCTGTTGAGCGTCAATCTATGAACCAGCTGGTCACAGTTCGATTCCCGGTCAGGGACATGACCGGGTTGCAGGCTGGGTCTCCAGTAGGGGCGTGCAGGAGGTTGAGGCTGATGCGTGCAGCCTCTGATGGTTGAGGCTGAAGCACATCTTGCAATCATAGTAAGAACCGCAAGGGCCGGTCCAACAACAACATTGGCTCAGGTCGGTGTCACAGGAATTCAAGGCCCAGGTGAGTGCCCCAGGCATTTATAATGAATACCTTTCTTATCAATAGGCTGAGACTTAAGTGGAACAATATTTAAAATCTACATAATTAGGAAGAGTACTTAAGGTAGTGATGTGAAAATAAATGACAGACCCAAAGTGAGAAGTGGTTTCATCTTTTCCTGTACAATAAAATTAAATAAATGTCCTTAGATGCCACGTGTAGTTTTGTCCATATGAGTAATACAACTCTGATCATGTTTTCAATAAAACTAGGGAGAAATTTCTTAGCATATGTCATTAGAGAAGAAATTACTTTGGAGAAATCCAAGTTGTCCCATGAAAGATATGGAAATTTCCAAATATTTCTGATCCAAGGTTGAGAAAAACTTTGAGAATGTATAAAAATGGTGATAAAGAAAACTACATATTATAGCAGAAGCTTAATAAAGTGAGTTACTTAAATTATATAGAGAAGTTAAATAATAAAAAATTGACATGCCAGGGAATAAAGAGAAGGATCCTGTTCTAGTCCACACAATCAAACAATCACAGGTTCAGGATTTGAGGCTTTGAACTATGAGATCAAGGGCACTTTTTCAGTCCCAGAATAATCGTCCCTTTTATACCTGCCATCCCAAAGAATCTATTCAGAGCCACCTTTATGTCTTTGTTCCTGAGACTGTAGATGAAGGGATTCAGCATGGGTGTGACCACCGTGTACATCACTGAGGCTGTTGCACTTGCATGCGAGCTGTGGGTAGGACCAGAGCTGAGATACACACCTAGGACTGTACAATAAAATAAAGAGACAACTGAGAGGTGAGATGCACAGGTAGAAAATGCTTTATACTTCCCCTGAGCTGATGACATTCCACTTATGGAGGACACTATTCTAGAATAAGAGTAAAGGATCCCAGCCAGGGGACCACCAGCCAACAGCCCAGTTGTTAAGTACATCACTGTGTCATTAAGAAAAGTATCAGAGCAGGCAAGTTTGATCATCTGCTTAATTTCACAGAAAAAGTGGGGAATTTCCAAGTCTGCACAGAAGGACAGTCTCGATACCATTAAGCTATGTAACAAAGAGTTCAAAATACTAATGATACAGGACACCAGGACCAGCAGTCCACAGAGCCGGGGATTCATGATGACCGTGTAGTGCAGGGGGTGGCAGATGGCCACATACCTGTCATAGGCCATCACAGTTAGAAGGAAGTTGTCCCAACCGCCAAAGAGTGTGAGAAAATACATCTGCGTGATGCAACCTTTATAAGTTATGACGTTGCTCTGTGTCTGGATGTTGACCAGCATCTTCGGGACAGTGGTGGAGGTGAAGCAGATGTCCACCAAGGACAGGTTGGACAGGAAGAAGTACATGGGCGTGTGGAGGCGGGAGTCTGAGCTGACGGCCAGCATGAGGAGCAGGTTTCCCAGCACGGCGACCAGGTACATGGAGAGGAACAGCCCAAAGAGAAGGGGCTGCAATTCTGGTTCCTCTGAGAATCCCAGGAGAAGAAATTCCGCAGTACCTGTATCATTGCCTGGTCCCATGTGGTGGAGGTGGTGACTAAGAGTGAAAAAATACCATAATTAATTTTCACACAAATGGTCATTACTAGCATAGTTGAAATGCTACAATTTATGTTTTGCAGTAAATTAATCAATATCTAGTTTTTGTACAAATCATCCGCTTTAAGACATCCCCTGTGACATCTCTGATTTAGGAGTTTAAGTACCTTCAGGCTGTTTTCCCCCAGGAGGTCATGTATTTCACAGCTTTAATAAGAAATGCCTTCATGTCCCTGAGGAATATGTGTTGAGTACTGACCATCTCCAGGGAAAAAGCTGTAAGATGCTGAGGAGCAAAGTCCCTAGAATATAATGACGGTGAAAGAATATACACAAAATAAATATCATATACGATGTCAGACGGGGTCAGGTGCCATGAAAAAAAAAGAAGGTAGGTATTAAAAAGAGTGGGTGGGGTGCTATTTTTTTACTGGGAGTTCAGGAAGCCCTGCAAACAAGGTGGCATTTGAATAGAGACCTTAAGGAAGATAGAGTGGAAGACATGTGGTTATTTGAAAAATTGTTTGAGGAAAGAGCCAGAGCAAAGGCCCTGAGGATAGCATTGGTTCAGATATTCACAACATAGGTGATGGCTCTGCTCTGCGTCTGGATGTTCACCAGCATCTTCGGGACGGTGGTGGAGGTGAGGCAGATGTCCACCAAGGACAGGTTGGACAGGAAGAAGTACATGGGCGTGTGGAGGCGGGAGTCGGAGCCGACGGCCAGCACGAGGAGCAGGTTTCCCAGCACGGCCACCAGGTACATGGAGAGGAACAGCCCAAAGACGAGGGGCTGCAGTTCTGGGTCCTCTGAGAATCCCAGGAGAAGAAATTCTGAAATGTGTGGATCATTGTCTATACAATGTGGTGGTGGTCACGACTAGGAATAAAATAAAATTGATTTTCACATAAATGGGCATAACTAACATGGTGGAAATGCTACAACTGCAATGCTATGTGGGAACAAAAAGCATGTATAAAAGAGAGCAGGTGTGAGGTATATTTACTGGGGGTTCAGGAGGCCCTAAGAACAAGAAGACATTTGAACAGGGACCTCGCAGAAGAGAAAGCAGGAGACACGCATTTATTTGTGAAGCATGTACCCTGCTGGGGTAAGAGCCAGTGCAAAGGGCCCGAGGACCCTGAGGACGATACTTGTTTCAGATATTCGAGGTTCGGAAGGGAATGAGCCAGAGCGGAGGGATGAGGGGCAGTGTCAGAGAATGTGCTCGGATGAGGCGGCCCCTCTGCTGCTACAAAGCGTCAAGGCACAGGGAATCCCTTGTCCGAAAGTTGTTCCTTACACTTTATTAATTTTGTTTCCAGGTAATATTGAATAAAAATGGATGCTCTTCTTCTTTTCATGTGCTGGTTAACATTCTTACATCTCCATTCTAAGGGTCACATTTTGGAGTATATTTTCTCATGTACCTCTGCTCCGACAACTGCTCATTCCCCACACAACACACACACACATACACACATGCACACAACACATGTGTAATCACGCACACATGCAAACTAGGACCTTCTGGGGCGGTGTTATCCCCAGGCTTTTTGTGCCCTGTCATAATTATTAGGAAAGTAATGACTACAAAGAAAGCTGTCAATATCGGATTATCTTTCCCCTAAAAAATATAGAAATAGTATCCAAATTTCACTGGGTAAGTATCCCAGGAACAGGTGAGCGTGTCACTCCTGTCACTCCTGGGCTCTTCACTCTTATTATGACCATATTCTGTCCTGTATGTATTTATCTATTTTTATTTCTTCATTTAGATTTTTGTTTTTGGAAACTGGGTAATTGAATTTCAGTTGGAAGTCTATATGGCTTTTCTGATTTTTTATAAGGATCAGATAGTACTAAACTAGTATCTGCCAGATTACATGACTAAATTCCTGTTCCGTATTTAAAGAAGTATAAAAAAACTCAGTTTAAAAAACAGAGATAGCAATAAAATTAAAAAATAAAACAAAAACAGAGATGGTTTAAAAAACTAGACAATAGAGGTAAAAAGATCTAATAGCTCAGAGGGTCCCTGAGAAACTGTGAATAGATTTCCTTGGGTCTGTCGACATTTCAGCCCCAGTTCTATCCCCATGATGCCCATGATAACTAATAACACAGCAAAGGCAATTTATCCAAAAGAGAAGAGTGATCTACTATCAATGTCAAGAAACTTCCAAGAATGAGCATCCACTGGAAATGGAGCAAAGAGAATAAATTTACAATTTAGAAAAGGAAATATACAACGTACAAAAGTCGTAGTTTTTTTAAGAGATAAAATGGTAGAAGACTTTTCTAAATAATACTAAATGCAAAATTTTAGGTTTAGCAGCTGAATTTTGAACCTTGGATCTGCCACATATTAGATTAGCTGTTTGAATTTGGAGAGATAACCAATCCATTCTAAATGTTAATATTCTCACTCAAATGGAGTGGGCAGCAATGTCCATCCCCCTAATGTGGTCGATACATTTGGTCAATATGTATAAAAGTTTAGCACAGTTCCTTCCTGTTAGTACATCTATGGGCGTCACTGGTGATGATTCTCTTTGTTTAGATGTGTGTGCGTACATTCATGTGTATCTGTGTGTTTGCATGTGCACACATACTTGATTACAATGGAAAAGGCATGTTTACTGTGGGACATGTTAACAAATTTGGAATAATGCAGTAAAGGAAAATATAGATTTAAAAGAATGGCAGTTCCTGCTAAGGAGGGAAAAGTAATGAGCCTGAAGAGCCCAGCAGAGAGCCAGGTGCAGAGAGAAGCAGCAGCCGGCGTGGTGCTGAAGCTACCTCGGGCTCAGGGGACCACACACTGACTGGACCTTCATTGCTCCGCTGGCCTCGTCATTGCATCCACCTCACCTCCCGATCTGATTGTGATTCCTGCACCTATGTCATGTTCATTTGACCACACTTGTTTTTATATGTCCCAATAGTGGATGAGCCTGGCCCTTCTCTCATTTTTCTTTGTGGCATCTTTCCTTTGTTCTTGGACTTTGGGATTGCATATCTTTTGTGACACACCCAGTAGTTACACTCTAGTCCTGGTTCTGGTCCCCATCCTACATGCAAAGTCCTCATCAAGTTATACTTTATAAAATCCTACACAAGCCAGATGATCTGTCCCTTTTCTTCATACGTTTATACTGAAGACATTATGTCATTCACACACTTACTTCACTGTACTCTGCCTTCCCCATTTAATGTAAGATCAAATGAGCAGGGACTTCACCCCCTTTGTTCACGTCTATGTTTTCACAAAGGTGTGCATTTGCATAGAAACAAATTTTAAGAAAATGAGAATTCATTAAATAAAAAACTGGTAGGGAAAATGAACCTAAGTTATAAATAGTGAATTCAAATAACTATTAAATAAAATTGAATAAAAATATAATACTAACATCTGAAAGAAAATCACAATAAATTGATCCCATAAACATCTGTAATTCAAGATGAACTGGGTAAAAAGAAATAAAAGACTAGGAAAACGTACTCTTTAAAACACTGTGGAGGAAGCAGTATCTAAAGTTATAATCTCATCTTATATAAACGTAAGTGGACTCATAGTGCTTATAAAAAGGATATGGGTGATCTTTAGTTGGATAAAAGAATGTTTTCCAAAACATCACAGAAGATGATTGCTATTTTTAAAAATAGATCTAGGAGGAGGGAGAAGCAAGATGGGGGGTAGGTAACAGCTGCACCTGCCGCCTCCCGCAACCATATCAAAATCACAACTAAAATACAGAACCACCATCACTCAGAGCCTCCTGAAATCTGGCTGAACAGAAGCCCCACAACCAGGGAACTGAGGGAGCACCGAGAGCGGGAGGAGGGGGGAGACGCGGGCGGATCCGGGCTGAATCGCAGAGACGCGGCCGCGGGCCCACACCTGGTGCCACGGTTGAAACCTGGGAGGGAATCTCGGCGGCGGAGGTTTCCCGGAGGAGGGAGGGGTCCCAGCCCCACAGC